CTTACAAATCTTACAGAGCGGATTTTCTATTGGTCACGACGAAAAGGCGCAAACTTGAATCGCGCCGCAAACTTAAAAAGGCATTGAAAATGGCAGACCCTAAAGTTTTTGCATTGATAGAATGGGAGGATAACTATGTTAGCATAATAAACATAGACGCAATCTGTCAGCCCCGTAAAGAAATAGAGAAGTACGAAGAGGGAGAGTATATAAGGGCCAAATTCAAGGGAACAATGTATTCTGCAGTCATAGCTGAGATCAGTGGTAAGTTACAAAATATATCTATGGTAGCTCTTTTTATCTGTTTCAGTTTTTTTTTAATTAATTTGCATTCTAAATTAAAACCTTGCCAATCACAAACTTAAGGATGGATCAATCCAACCAGGGCAACTTTTTCATTTCAATTATAATTTTCTAAATAAGTTACCATTGGCCACCATTTTGTAGGTCTAGCAAATACAGTTTTTCATGTGGGTTTGGAACTAGCTGCAGAACTGTATCTCTCTGCTTGAGAAATTCGGACAGATAAAGCAGAGAGCTACAGATCCAAGCGTAAGTAAAAAGGTTAGCTTTTTAACAGGTTTCATTTCCAAGTAACTTTGAGCTCTATGTTGAGCAAACTTGCATGGATGATACATCTTTGAATGCACACTAATGGACTTGCTTCAGATGCTGAATTGGACATACATTTTCTAGATAATGAACAGGTCTCGTAAAAGTTGTGGGTGCAGGTTTATTACCATGATTACCAAGAAACTAAAAGGCTTATATAAACCAATCTTGCATACATGATGCATCAAGGGTTGAAATCTCTCAAACTTTTTTCAGATGCTGGATTTTAACTTCATGATGAAGAACTAGTTTGAAGTTTTTATATAGGTCTATTCCAAAGTATCAAATCAAAATTGCATAAATTTTGCATTTTTGGATGTACACTTTTTATTGGTTAATTGTGTGCATGACTTAGCCTTAATACTTAAAGACAACATTCGTTGAGGTGAGCTCTGTAATCTCTGATTACCTATGTTTTATTTAGTTCGGGCTGTGACATTGGGTGCAGCTCAGACTCTCGCCTCACATTTAATATACATCATTTACCTACGTATCCACAAAAATTAAAATTTACCAAACGCTATTAATTTGTCCTGGAGATGGGATTGGTCCTGACTCTTCTGCATATGGAATTGTGTTTAAATTAGATATACTCAAGTGGTTCAGTCTCAGTGGGGATAATAAGTTACTTGTTTTTAAAAAGGAATGAGATATATTCATAGTTGTACTATTTCATGTAAATTTTTAGATGACAAAAAATACCTTGAAGAAAAGAAAAAAACAAGGCAACTAAAGCATGAATTTTAAGATGGGTCAGTAGGTAAAAACAATTTAATTCTTTGAAAATTCAGCTATAAACGTTTCCTTCAGGTAATCTACCAAATAAATACAATGATTACACAAGAACAGATAATAAAACAATTTCATTTTCTTGTTTCTAAATAGCATCCTGTTCCAGCATATCAGTTCCTTCTATTAACCTTTGAAATGTTTGCATCCTCCCTCTGCATTGACTTCTTTAATTAATACAAGATCTAAACAAGTTCACAGGTGCTCACCCTGATATCAATAATTTAAAAATGTTATAAAACCTTATTGATAACAATGAGAGGTGGAAAATAGATGAATATTAACACTTGATTTTATTATAGCATTCTCTTCAAGGAAACGACTCGGACAGTCTAATATTAGATTAATCCCTGAAAAGACAGCACCAGCTCCGGACTCTGATGAAACTGATTCACCACCCGCTACACCACTTAATACAGGTAAATCAGGTGAGTTAATGTATGTATTAATCTTTGAAATGTTTGTATCTTGTCTCTGCACTGACTTCTTTAATTAATACAAGATCTAAACAAGTTAACAGGTGCTCACTCTGAAATCAATTATTTAAAATTGTAATATAATTGCAATAAAACCTTATTCATAACATGACTTGTGGAAAATAGATATAGCATTATATATAATGATATAAGTTTATCATTATACTTAATGATAAGTATCCACAGCTTTTAAATAGAAAATAAATTTGCTGGACATCCAGATCGTTAATTCATTGTAAATGGCACATTCTAACACAATCTTTCCATCCTCTTGGCCATCCTTTCCTCCTCTATATCTATTCTACGTATTTTTTTTCTTTTCCATAGTACTATTTTTAAAAAAAAAACATATGCCCATAAACACGTGTTAATGAGCATTCCAAATTTTGAGAAGTTTAATGTCCATATACTTTTAAAGAACAATTCATCTATTCACCACACTCACACACGCTAACGCACTTTAAACCAGTAGTCATAAAAATTATTCCATTCCATATTCTTTTCTACATTTACAAAGTCAATGTTAAACGTTAAATGTATCGTCTTTCGTCAATACATTGTATATATACCTTTCTCATTACCATGAGTGCCGAGTAAGAAGCAATTTGAAGCCCTTCGCTGGTATGTGTTGACGTCTCTACATGAATGATAAATTCTCGAAGAGGACGTGCAACAACATACAATCAATTTCTTTAAGATTAATATGACAAGGGCGGAAAGTTCTCAAATAAAACGTTATCTCCGGGGTCAGGCTCAGACATCAGATATTTTGTATCCAAAGGAAGGTCTAGTCAAAGAGAATAAACTTTTGAAGTATAAAAGTCGTGCTACTTAAAGTTCAAAAGTTATGGCCGAGGTAAAAAAAAATAGGTGGGCAAAACTTTAAACTCAAAGGTCAAGAGATCTTTGCTGGTACCCAAAGAAAGTTCTTGTCACAAGGACTGCATTTTTGAAATATTAAAGTAATAGCCCAAATCACACAAAAGTTATAGGAAAGTTTAAAGTTTTTGCTGACAGACAACAAGAAAGACAGACTGTCGGACATAAAATTTTATACCTCTGAATCTTACTAGGGTATAAAAAGACACTCGAACTGCATTTTTTGAAAGAGGAGAAAGAACAAATTAAGTTAAAAAACCCCAAAATATTAATTACATGTTGAAAACATATATATTAATCACTTCATCCTTTAGTCTATATAATTGTTATGTTATGTAAGGTTGCAACATTCCATTCATATTCTCAAAAATAATCAAAATGTATCATTTCTGTTCTTTGATTTATTTAAGAAATAAATAACAAGTTTATAAACTTCAATGGGAATTGAAGTGTGTCGGTCACGTGGTCAAATCCTGTGAAGGCCGAAGGCCTTCTCAGAAGATTTGATCACGTACCGACCCACTTCAATTCCCATTGAAGTTTATAAACTTGTTATTTATTACTTATATATATATTTGAGACAGACAATTGAATATTTTCGAATTTAAATTATTGCACTAACCGTCCGTCGTAGATTTTGAAAAATGACGAAAGGTGTAAATCGGCTTGCATGGCGGTTACGCTTCGAATTCATTAGGCTAAGGAATCTATTTCGAAGGGAATATTTTGTGAAAGACTACTTGTGATCAGTAACTGTATATAATAGTGAACAGATTGTTGTCTGGGAATATTTTATTCGTGAAAAATGATAATCGATGCTGAAAAGACAAAAGAAACACGTCCGAAGATTGATCATAAAAAGTTGGCTGGAAAGGGATGGATGGATCCGATGTATTGAGACACTTGTCCGAGCCAGTTAATTTGCATTTGATCAGAAACATTCCACGGTTTCAGTAACTAAAGGCATACTTATCGTAAAACACTGATAAACACGGAGACACTGGCGACAGCTTTACATAGAACTACGAAAACGCCGAGGTGTTTGGCAGCTGTTTAGGGCATGGTTGCAAAGATATTTTCCAACAAATTTACACATTTATCGTGAGTAAAATTTAAAGATAAAATAAAAGTTTATCATGAAAATTTAACCAAAGGTCTATTCAAAGAATAAGGATGAACGTTATCTAGAGACTCTGCAGCTGACAAAAGTGAAGAAAAATGTAAACAAACGCTAGGCCTAGGCTCCTTAGTTTTCTCTGTGTACACAGGTTGAATCGATAGCCCAAAACTGTATGAAATACATGTACTTGTTTACATTTAAAATAAAATAATTATCATTTTACTTGCTTATTTTATTCATTTTTTGACATGAAAAGCAAGTAGAGCAGGTCATTTGATAATTTATGTACCGGTAGATATTATTGCGCCGTGTGATTAGGTCACGTATTGACCTCTGACCTCTGACAAACTTCATACAGAATTGAAGATATTTTCTCTCTGTATGTTTATATAATGGAGAGATACCACAAATGTATATATATATTATTATATCATTATTGATTTTCTATATTATCTCTCATAGGCGTGCAAGAACATTTACACAACGGGCTGTTCAAAATATAGATTTAAATCCTTATTTGCATTTCTTGTTATAATTTTATGAATAAATGTTTTACCGGAATCAATGATGTACCCTTCAACAGAAGAAAATATACCAAATTAAAAACTTTTTATCTAAGGTAAACCTACTGTAGAGCTAATCTCCTTGTTAATTAAACTAAAGGATGTAAATCGTCTAACATCATCGGTCCGCTTAAATATTAGTAATTAATATTATGAGACGTAAATTACGCATTTATTTTATAGACATTCCCTCGTTGTATTAGTTTTTAACTTGTGAATGACAATGTGATCCATAACCCCCCAAAACGTACGTAACCACTATGATATTCGGACAAAAGAATCGATAAAACAGCTTACAAAATGTATTGCACGATGCACACTGTCAAGGTGAATCTTTTTTTCAACCTAACTACAGAGCAATTTAAACTTTCAAGATATTGAAAAAAACATACAGTAGACTTGAGCAGTAAAATATCACGATCTATATTTACGCTGGATTTGAACATTTTTAAAATCATCTGAAGTAACTCACACCGAAGTTCAAGAAAATTAAGATCAGAAAGAATTTCATTGCAGGAGTTTAGGCCGTACATAATTTTTCGAGTGAAAGATAACATAGAGAAAAGGAAGTTATGTCGGCCATTTTGTCTCCTGTGTTTGTTAAGAACAAAAAAAGACATTGACGGACGGATTATTGCCTTTCCATAATGGCACTATCATTTTTTCCAAGAAGAATTTTGTTATTTGGATTCGTATCAGAGAAAAAATTGTTCATGTCAGTTCAGCGTTTAATTACTACCAGCTGCAGTATTCAATCATTTTAAGAATTATAACAATGACTTCGTCACAAATCACAAGACAGTTTCACCAGCGCAGATGACCTAAATTTTAGTATTGAACGTTACAAGTTTTGGATTTTAGTGCATGATCAATATGTGTCCAAGAACATATTTAACTCAACGACAGCTGGAATTAAGTGTCTGTCTGTTCATGTGCTTGATTTTAATTGTTGTGTCGTCACCTGACGTCAGCGTTTTAAATATAACCAGACACAGACAAATCAATAATCGACCAAAAAGGGTAAATATATACGCTTAGTTTAACAGTAATTGTTGTAGAACTTACACTCTACATATTAAGTTCAATGTATAAGAAATGAATCACTACTAGGCATTTAATATTGCTTACGTGTGTAGCAATTATTAAAAAAAAATCAAATTAATTCTTTACAATTCCTTAAAGAATTCAGGGATGTATTTGTATTTAAGGTAAAAAAAACATTAAGGCTCACATTAATGTTTAGTTGATGATGAATTATTTGCATTAAAACTGTCTTTCGGGGTTTTTGTTGTTGTTGATTTCGATGTCTTCACCTTATTTCTTTCCTATATGACCGCATTTTGAGAAACTAATTCTTATTTTAGCTCCTTGTCGTGACCAAGAAATATCGTTCATAGACTTTAAACTAGTGTGTTCATATTTTTTGTTTCATGAACTTTTTTTATCAATAACTCCCCTCGTTTAGAAACAGTTGGCATCTATAACATCCTTTTGCGTATCGAATTAACTGAGAATTAAAAACCCCACACTCAGGTAATAATGGTATACTACTTTATTCCTAAAGGAGGTAAATGATTCAACATTTTCTCTTATAGATTTACTTGCATCTGAGAAACGCCATCCCTCGCCATTATCTACCATACGGGGCAATAGAAGTTCAGTTTCTTTCCTCTCTTTGAAATAAAGTAAAATCATATATTTTTCATTTGCTATCTAGGTTTCAACACAGTAGCGATTCCCTGTCAATGAGGTGGACTCTTGTCCTACAACTAATGTCACGTGGTATGAAGCTGGTGCCAGATTAAACTGTTCTCATGACTTCTTCAACAGACTTCAGTACCTCTGTATTCCCAATCAGGAAAAGACAACTCTACTGGAATTTTGTTATGACAAGATTATGGGTCTTTACGAAAAAGGTACAGTTGCATTTCATTTAAATGATGTTTTCAAGGTATACCATTCATTTTAAATAACATTATTGAAATTTAAACTTAGGTCACATTAAAAAAAAAGACATAAATTCCTTACCTGCTAAATCATCAATCAAGATGCCTGAACAAGATAAAATATTGGTGCAAAGCATCTAATCTGTATCAAATTTCTCAAGTAAAACACACCTGTGCCCTAAAGTTATGAATATTATGTAACGATGCCGATGACCTGCAGAAGCTAGGTTTAACTTAAAAATGATAAGTTAAAATTTATTTTTCTTTTTTGCAAAGGAAAAGCAACTTGTTTATGTTTCTCTTTTAAAATCTAAAACATTGTACAGTTTCAGAGACACATATCAATTGATTTCTTTATACATCCTTTTAAATGGGGAAACTAAATAAAACTGAAAATAGAACAAAACTTTAATTTAATAAAAATAATAAGGCTACATAAAAAAGATACCGGTATACATGTACGTACGGTATAATGGTAGGGCAGATATGGGCGAGTATATAGACAAAGAGTTACACCGGATAAATTAATTCCTCACTGCCGCTTTGTTCTGCAGTCAATACAAAACAGTAAAGTGTTTCATTCATATAGCACATATCTATCTGATTACTTTACTTACTGATAAAGGTTATTGTAGTTTTGTATTGAAACGTGCTAAAGTAAATGTTTTTTTTACCCGAAAAACCTATGAGCCATACAAAGCAAAAGTTAAGGACAAAAAAATATTTCAGGACACTGCCTACATTTATCAACATCTGGGTTCGTGGACCAAGAGGATTGTGACTTTTTTATTGAGGGATGTCCAAAGACACCTTATTACAGCAGCACCATTTTTCAATGTAAGAATGAAAAACATAATTTTATACTATGTGATACTTAATTCATATTTAAATGCAAGAAATGTACATGATTAAACGTAAGATAATTACACGTATTATCATTTTTAGTTTTGAAATGCTTGGAAATAAACAGAGACCTGAGATGCTTTTCGGCTGATCTGGATTGCTATACAAGGTTTTTTTTTTTTTTATTTTAAAATGAGCAATGTTAAGTAGAGTACCCCTTTCGGTAGGAACCTCACCAGTAATATGAGAGATAATTTCTCCAGAGGGGCTTTAAAGATTGATTTTACAATGCATG